TTTTCCATAAATTCTGACGCTGTTCCACTGTTTTCAAACCATCAGCTTTGGAAATGAGATTCCTGAGGACAAGCTGACCTTCTGTACCACCCCAGGCTTATCAGAGCTAATTTTGGCTGTTAGTTCCAGAAAATCCCCCCAAAAGAATGATGTGAACAAGTTAGAATTTTATTTCTCTCCCATGTAGAAGCCCAGGGCTATAAATAGTTTAGGGCCGGTAGGTGCAACTCCATGATGTTAGAGATTCAGATTTCTTCCGTTTTATTGCTTCTCTGTGCTGCACTTTCACTCCAAATCAGCTTGTAGTCCAAGATAGGAGCCAGTGGAATGTGCAGAAATGAGCAAAATGTTGAGTGCCACTTCCCTAGGAGGATATTTCTGCTCGAAACACACTGGCAAGAATGTAAATGAATAGATAGCTGGGAAATGTCTTTGTCCTGGGCAGCCAAGTGCCTGATTAATAATTTGGGGTTCAATTACTATGGAAGAAGGAGAGAGTCAGCATTAGGAAGTGAGCAGGCTCTGACAAATTATAACAGTTTGTTCCTTTTACCTGGAAGCCTATACAATTTTCTTTGTAGACTTTGAAGTCACAACTTTAATGATAGTGTATCTGAAGTTTTCTTTTCTCATCAGTGAGGCATGTAACTTGGTAAGCCCTCTCAAGAAGTAGACATGTCTTTCTGTGGCTTAGTAATATTTCCTTTTAGTTAGTATTTAGTTTTCTAAAGGAGAGAAAAAGAAAATTTTTTTCATAAGTGATTGTTTTCATTTTTCTCTATTTTTTAGTTTATCTTATTTCCTATATTTCACTATAGAATTATATTTCTCTTTTTAAAACTTATAATAAACACAGTATTTGTTCATGGTAAAATAAATTGTGTAAGTAAGAATTTTAAATAAAAATTTTGTAAAAGAATACATTTTCACTATCTTCTTTTTTCCAGTCCTACTCATAGTTAATCGATGTTAAATTTTGTGTTTCTTTGTGTAATTCTAACATAGTATATACATGCACGCACATATACACACACATACTTTCTATACAGATGAGAGTATTTTCTTCCGTTCCTTTTTTCATTTAATAATATACTTTGTATTTTAGTTCTTTTAATTACTACGTTGGATTTAATTTTAAAATCAGTGAATTTATAACCACTTCCCTATCATTTGATATGTATATTGTTCTCAGTGTTGCACTATTACACATACATTTTCTGCATTCTTATGCAAATGATAGTAAGGTAAACTTTAACCAGATAATTGCTAAGTCAAAGTGTGAATGTGCTTCCATTTTTTTGACAAAGTTTTCTTTCAGAAAGGAAGCTTCTATGAATTTATCCTTCCAGTCCTGCCTATGAAACCTTAACAATATAAAGATATTATCAGTATTTGTGCCTGTTGAATCAAGACTTTATTTCGGTGTGAAGGGTGGGTTGGGGAGTCAGCTATTTTTTTATTACTATTATGGATACAGTCAGTGGTCCCAACATCCTTGATTAAACAATGAATGGCTAGAGATAGATACAGACATAGATAGGGCTGTTTCTGTATTCTTAATCAGTGTTTCTGGAAGTGGCTGCTATGGGGACCTTGTGATCTTTACAGGACGCTTACGAAGACAATGTTATTTTTTTCACTGTTGTATTTGTGGTGATGGTGCAAAGCACTGGTGGATAAAACAGGCAGCAGCTTAGCACAAAACAACGCTGTGGCACCAGATTATACTATCAGCCTGTTTTCTTTGCCACTTTCTTCACTCACATGCACTCACAGTGAAAAACAAACAAAAGCAATGTCACTAAGAATATCTTCAGTAAATCAGTACAAATGATCACATTTGAACATCTTCAAACTTGAGTGCTCTATTCTTAATACTCTGTGGGACAAGATAAAGCAGTCCTGTAAAGCATCGCTGCTTACTTCCTAAAGTGTAGAGTTTGTCTCAAGGTAAAGGACTTGTGTGATTGAGTTTTGTACTGAACTTGCCACCTTTTTTCATAGAACATAAAAGGATGACTGTTCTACAAACTATGGTTATTCCGACTTGGGTATTTGGCAAACATTTTCTTAAAAATCAGTGAAGTGAACCTGCATTTCCAAAGAAAACGCCTTAACCATATTTGTTACTAATGATATAATTCAGTTTTAAGAGAAAAATGAGAATTTTGGAAAATCTTCCCACATAAGCGTGATGGTTTCCCAACACGTAAAGACTCTTCTGAAGAGATCAGCAGTGAGATTCATAAATTTGTTCTTTTTTTGGTATTATGTAATGAAATGTGTGAATATTTGGAAGATCTGCATAACATTTTTTTACTCAATTATATTTTGTTTTGGAAAATAGTTTTCTGACTAAACTGACTAAAAATGTTCTTTGTGTTAAGATATCAGTTTATTAATATAATTTTATTTTTTTTAATTTTTTTTTAAGATTTTATTTATTTATTTGAGAGAGAGAGAATGAGAGACAGAGAGCATGAGAGGGAGGAGGGTCAGAGGGAGAAGCAGACTCCCTGCCGAGCAGGGAGCCCAATGCGGGACTCGATCCCAGGACTCCGGGATCATGACCTGAGCCAAAGGCAGTCGCTTAACCAACGGAGCCACCCAGGTGCCCTATTAATATAATTTTAAATGAGTTAATAATACATAGTTTAACATTGCCTCAGTTTTAATTTCTAATACAATAATTATGAATAGATACAATCACTCTAAATAAAAGTTATTTGGGGTCCCTTGTAATTTTTAAGAGTATAAAGGCATTTTAAAACCAAAAGGTTGATAAGTGCTGGTTTGCATCATAGTTTTTCCTCTCCCTGTTTTTCTCTCTTTTCTGTTTCTGCCTTTGTCTTCCTCTCTGTGTTTCTGTCACACACACTCACACACACACACAGTCTCTCTCTCACACACTCTTGCTTTCTCTATCCCCTATTCCTGAATGATTACTAATACTGTACCAGTATAGCCCAAATTAATCATTGTACCTTAATAGCATTTTTAATATCTGAAAGGGTTAGGTCATTTCCAAAATTGTTTTTGTCTTAAAACTTCCTTTTTATTATCTGAAATATATATTATTCAAAACAATTTTATATTATAGTGGGCGCCTAGGTGGCTCAGTCGGTTAAGCAGCTGCCTTCGGCTCAGGTCATGATCCCAGGGTCCTGGAATCGAGCCCCGTGTTGGGCTCCCTGCTCTATGGGAAGCCTGCTTCTCCCTCACCCACTCCCCCTGCTTGTGTTCCCTCTCTCGCTGTGTCTCTCTCTGTCAAATAAATAAATAAAATCTTTAAAAAGTAGGGGTACCTGGGTGGCTCAGTCAGTTAAGCGGCTGCCTTCATCTCAGGTCATGATCCCAGGGTCCTGGGATCAAGCTCCACGTCGGGTTCCCTGCTCAGCGAGGAGTCTGTTTCTCCCTCCCCCTCTGCCTGCCGCTCTGCCTACTTGTGCTCTCTCTCTCTCTGTCAAATAAATAAATAAAATCTTAAAAAAAAAACAAAATCAATTTTATACCATATAATTTTATATTATGATAGTAAAAAAAAACCTTGGTATCTTAATTGGAATTGTGTTTTATTTATCTCAGATTATATCCTAGCAATAATGATTATCGTAGAATTATCATCTGTCTATACAAGAACAGAAAATTAGTGCCCTTGTTATACATTGTCTTTTTATGAGCATAATAGGAACCAGCTTGTAAACTGCTTGAAGTCATGAGTCTTGCCATTTACTTTTGTGTGTATTCCATACACATAGAAGATGTTGAATAAATATTTGATATTTATTTTGTGAATTACTCAGTTTTTATAAATCTCTAACATTTTCATTTCATTCACAATTAAGGACAGACATGATTATATTCATACCGATAGTATAATGATTGGAGAACTTTTAAAAGATTCTTTTAATGTCATTAGATTATAAATTTTAATTAACATTATATGAAAATAGCATAGATAATGGCGGTATTATAGGATTTCAGCTTTGAAGACTCAGTCTTTGGTTGCATTTTTCCATATTTCTTCTTCTGTGTTTGACCAAGGATTTCTATCAACCATTTCTCAACCTAAAAATAAAAACAAAAAAAAAAATAAATATTCTATCCAGCAGGGACACGGAGAGAAGTAAAACCAAATCCTCTTGATTTCCTACTTTGTATCACTTTACAGTACCATTATTTGGCTTTTGTTCAGGTTTTATAAACTAAGATACACAAAATTAGAGTTGAATGCCAGTCTTTATTGCTAGCCAAAACTAAGTCTGTTGTACACAGCTGTGTTTAAGAGAATGTTATTGTTTATAATGAAATGTTTTAGTTATTCAAAGTGTTTTGGCAGTTAAATAGAAATGCTCTCTTTGGAAAAGTTTGCACATTTTTTGAAAATAATTATTGATATAAAGTGAATTCTAATTATCAAAACAGACAAGCCATTTGTAGACTTATTAAAGCCATAAAAAAAAGAAAACGCTTGTAACAGCCAGGTATATATATATAATTACACATAATCTCAATAAGCCATTAGACTAACCTGCTTAAATTATCCAAATCAAATAGGAAATTTAAAATAACGAAAACATGTCTGAAAAGACATTAAGAGTCTACCTGTACTAACTAAATAAAGAGTACCTTAGGAGGGTTTGAAAAATATGAAAGAAAAATTTAAATTCTCAACAAAAAGAGAAACTAATCCATATTTCCAACATATTACATATATTTAACTCTAATTCCCTTTATTTTGTCTTTATATTGCCCCCCACACTGATTAAGCTCTTCATGAATTATATACAATTGAATTAGAATTACATACACTATCCAATGACATTGCATTCAAATTTTTATAATTCAATTGTGCATATAAATTTAATTTTTTTCCTGATAACTTGCTAGGAATGGCATATAGCATCTCCAAAAGCAAACTCTTCAAATGAGTAATGGCTATTTGATTTTTCTTTGAGAAAACCAACCTAAAGTAACCATCTTTGTTGATGCTTGCTCAGATCAGGTGGACCAAAACAGCAGGAAGTGCCTCTGACAGATTCCAAGACTCAAGTGTCTTCAATGAGACTTTGAGGATTACAAACATTCAGCGACACCAAGGAGGCCGGTATTACTGTAAAGCAGAGAATGGCTTGGGGTCCCCAGCGATAAAGTCAATCAGAGTGGATGTGTACTGTAAGTAACTGTCCCAGAAAACTATGGTTAAGTCTCCTATGGCTTTCTGTCCTACAGCTTGAGATCTATTTTTTTGTCCGTTGAGAAAAACTATGATTTGTTCCAAAACATAGCATTCTCTTTAGTTGAGGATAAAAAGTATGTAAGATAACTATAGCTCATTTACTATACTTACTGAAGAAAGAGTCTCCATTAGGAATTCTCCTAATTTTTATGAGAAAGTAATACATTTTCATCATAGAACATTAAAGAACCAGAGTAACAAAGAGGCAATAAATATTACTGATAATCCCACCAATGATCATTAGGGTTTGAATGTATATACTTCCTATCTTTATATAGAAGTATATAAATGCATTTTTATAACAGCATAAGGAAAACATTATGCGATACATACTGTAACTTGCTTTGTTAACTTTACCTCTGGGTGAATTCAGCGGTTCTTGTTTTTGTAAAGGAACACCATGTATGCGGTACTATTTGAATTGGCTTGTGAATGACCAAAATCTCTAGGTAGAGCCTGGTTTTGATCCACCTGTGTTGAAAGTAATCAGTATCTTGGGCAATGCTGTGCCACCTGGGAAGTGTTTGTTGATTTATTTTGGTTCTTAGTCTCGTTTTTCCACTTTTTGCTGTTAGCAAATATACTTAAAATTTTCTTGGTCTCCTTACCTTCTTCCCCACCAAAACAAATCAAGGACCTACATTCAGTTTGTTCTTTTGCACAGGTTTAACCCATCATTCCATTATCTTTTTATGAGAACTTTCATTTTTTTAACTCTCTACTGTTAGAATAAAAAGATTTTTTTTTTTTTGCTCTCCTCAAAGTAATTCAGACATAAGTAACAAGTGAGGAGTTCCTGTTTTTCTACCTATCTCTTATTGTGTCCCTTTCCTTTGTTTTGCAATGTGGGACAAGTGTTGCATAGTTAGGAAGGTGACCGGAATTAAACATGATCTATTTATTGCACTGTTTGTTGAATCTCATTCAGTTATTCAGGGGACTGGGAAGTGGGTGGCAGGGCTACATTTGTGATTTATCTTGCACTCGGATGCTTGTTCCTTTCCTGGAAAGGATGAGAGAGAAGGCCTGTCCCAGTCATTGTAGCATCTTCTAGCCCCTTAGGCATCCCTTGGTATTATAACTCAGGCACCTGAATCCCACGTGCTACTCTCAGGGCGCACAGGTTGGCCTTACCCATACACTGCCTCACCACAGTATAGCCTCTGGCCCTTGTCCTGATCAAATAGTTCCAGTTATGTATACTTAACAACAACAACAACACTATTTTTACTAGTTTTGTTCATATATAATTTTTTAAGGTTTTTATTTAAATTCCAGTTAGTTAACATAGTGTTATATTAGTTTCAGGTGTACGACATAGTGATTCAATACTTCCATACAACACCCGGTGCTCATCACAAATGCCCTCCTTAATCCCCATCGCCGATTTAATCCCCCCACCTGCCTCCCAAACTGTAACTATCAGTTTGTTCTCTATAGTTGAGAGCCTGTTTCTTGGTTTGCCTCTCTTTTTCCCTTTGCTCATTTGTTTTGTTTCTTAAATTCTACATACGGTATTTGTCTTTCTCTGACTGACTTACTTCACTAGCATAATACTCTCTAGTTCTATCCATATCATTGCAAATGGCAAGGTTTCATTAAAAATTATATATGAACAGCCACTCTGGCAAACAGTATGGCTGTTCATATATAATTTTTAACTAAAGTAAATTTAATTTAAATGAATTACACACTTCTATGATATAACTTTCTAGAAAACATACCTGTGCTTTTTTTGTTGTTGTTATTATAGATTTGGTCATGAAGTTTTAAAGATTTTTTTAATTAATTCATTTGAGAGAGAGCACACAAACAGTGGGGAGGGTCAGAGGGAGAAGGAGAAGCAGACTCCCCACTGATTGTGGGACTCAATCCCAGGACCCCAGGATCATGATCTGAGCCGAAGGCAGATGCTTCACCGACTGAGCCACCCAGGCGCTCCTTGGTCATGAATTTTAAAATCTAAAACTTTCTGAAAATTGAATGAGTGTATTTGCTGCTTGCCTTTTTGGGTTTTATTGGTAAATTTTCTCAGCAAAACTGGACGTGAACTAGTTTGGTGGCAACATCTGATTTAAAATTACTCAAATAGAAAAATAAAAAAGGGGCACCTGGGTGGCTCAGTCGTTAAGCGTCTGCCTTCGGCTCAGGTCATGATCCCAGGGTCCTGGAATCGAGCCCTACATCGGGCTCCCGGCTCAGCAGGGAGCCTGCTTCTCCCTCTCCCACTCCCCCTGCTTGTGTTCCCTCTCTCGCTGTGTCTCTCTCTGTCAAATAAATAAATAAAATCTTTAAAAAAAAATAGAAAAGACTTTATGCTCTTTCTTTACTTTGTTTGAATAATCATGTTTTGCTCAGGAAATAACGTATCTGATTATACAGTGTTGCCACAGAGCCTGCTGAGTATGTTGGGTAACACATGATATATCTACTGTATTATCTTTTGAAAATCGAAATATTCTGAAAAACACTCCCCAAAGTTTTGAATAAGAGATTATGATTTCCACTGCCACCACAAGAGGTTTGATAATAATTTATATATATAATTTAATAATAATTAAACATTGGGTTAAAAATCAAATACAAAGGAGGAAATTACATTTTTTAAGAACTTAAAACAATACTTTTTTTCTCCTCCTCTTACTACAAAGCCATTTCAGTACTATTCTGCATTATACCCACCCTTTTCTATCTGTTCATGTCTCTTGCTGTCCAGACTCAGTTGCACCTCACTGTTTTAGTTTACAGTGCACACTTTGGTAGAAATGATAGCATAACTCCCTTCAGTGCTCCAAAGCCCTGTTAGTCTTTTAAGACTCAGGTCACCTTCCAAGCAGCCAGGACCCAGATTTCACACAATTCTATGCCTAACCACCTCCTTTTCCCTGCCAGCTTCCCAGTCAATCCCTATAGAAGACTAGAATTTTTTTTTTTAATATGAGATGTTGAACTGGAAAGATGTTGAACTAAGAAACTTGGAATCATCAAAAATGAGAGGCAATATACTGTAGTTAAATCAGGTTTAACATATTCAAGTTTACATATTCAACATGGTCCCTTCTCACATTTGGTTCTGAAAATGCCTTCCTGGCAGAATACTGGAGAATTCCTGTCCAGGAAAACCGATAAACTCTGGAGGAAAGGCTACGGATCCTGACAAGTATGGGACTTGGTGACAATAGTCCAGCTAATACACTTAAAATAAAGCCAACTATTGATCAACAGAACTACCAATATGCTCTTTCATAATTGACTCTTTAATAGGACTATACCATATACCCCCAAATTTGGGACACTCTTCTAATAAAAAGAAATAAACCAAGAAAAAGAAATAGGAAAAAGAATTCAGGAAACAAGGATAATTCAGAGGGCCAAAATACAAAATAAAATACAATTCATTGATTATTTTAATTGGTATTCTCAGAAAAAAAGAAAATATTGCGTGTATGTAACAAGAACAGGAAAACTAAAAACAAAGAATTTTTAGAAAAAATCAACTCTTGGAATATTAATAATGATAGCATAAAAATCAACAGAAGGTATGAAAGATAACTTTGAAATCTTACAGAGAGTAAAACAGAATTTAATAATCAAATGGATAGAACAAGAAAGAGAAGATAAGAAAATGAAAGAATTAGTCCAGCTGATCTAATATTTGAATAAATATTCCAAACAGAGAAAATAGAGGTGAAGAAATTATTTTTAAAAAAATTAAGAAAATTTGCCATCATAGTTGGACATGTGTTTTCAATTACTATGTGTCAAGTACAATGCAATAAACAAGATCCACACCAAAACACATCAATACGCAATTCAGAACACTAGGAGAAAAGTGATCTTAAAAGTTTCCAAAGAGTTTTTCTTTTTTTCCAAAATGGTCACATGTAATGAATTAGGAATTAATTTTGGCACAGGTCTTCTCAATAGGAATCAGGAAACTAGAAAACAACTGAGTAAAGCTTTTGAAATTTGGAAGGAAAGTTATTTCCAAACTAGAATTTTTCACACAGCCAGTTATTGTGTTTTTCTTTTTTTCAAATATCAAAGAAGATCCTTTTTAGAAGAAGACATTTTTAGACCTATAAAATTTCCAATTTTTTTTTGCCTTGTTCCCTCTCTCAGGACACTACTTTTATATATGTTGCACCAAAACTAGAAATTAAATCAAAAAAGAGGAAGAGATGTAATAATAACAACAATAAAAAAGGAGATTTGTATAGGAGAATATAGAAGGGAATCCCAGGATGATGATGAAGCAAGACACCGTGATGATAGCTGTGCATTGTGCCTCAAGGACAACCAAGACAGACTGAAGCTGGAAGAGGCTCCGTGAAGGATGTTTTCATGAAGCAGATGCAGCTGGTGGGTTGCCTGGTTTTAGAGAAGAACTTTATGCTTTTCATGGAAAGCTTAATAATGTGGTGATGATAGATGCATACACAATTGGGAAAACAAAATACAGGTGTTATTAACACAAGACAAAGAAAAAGTTTTATGAAATGAAATGTAATTGAAATATATTACAAGGTTCAACTGTAAAGAATACTTGCATAGTCATCAATAGCAACAGCACTTGACTTAACCAAAAGTATGATATAAGGAAGATGGGAGAGGGTTAGTATAGAAAGGTTGGTATAGTTTGTAAAGGCTTATCTTGAACAGGAAAAAATCAATAAGACAATATGAAAATTAAAAGAAAAACAGTCTGTAAGTTGCCATTAAACATTTAGAAATATGAAGGCAAAACCAAGACTGGTTAAGAACTGAATTAGAAAAGGTTGCCTCTGGGTATTAGAAATACTTGAGGTTGTGTTTTATATAATTATTTGGCTTTCTAAACTATGTGCATGTATAATTTATTTTTTAATTCATAAAATATAGATTTGAAGATTTTGCCTTGGAGGTCCTTGTTATTAAGCCCTTACAAGTCAAAACT